GCAGTTAATAGGGGTTCGGGCTCTAACTCTCAAAACGACCGGACGGGTCGTTACAAAAACTCAAAACTAAGTTGAAGAACTTTCCAACTTTTCCCCCAAATTTCTCAACCAAATTATTTAATTAAATGATGAAATCAACTATAGATTAGTGGAATATAACCATAAATGAGTTAAGAATCGTTACCCAAAAGCTTCCTCTGAAAATCTCCCAAATTATCGCCCAAATCCAAGCTCTCAAAGTCCCAAAATTGAAAATGGGATAAAACCCTCGATCTTGGCCCTTTTCTGCCAGTGATTCCGCTTCTACGGGCTTCCAGTCGCACCTGCGGAATTTCCATCGCAGGTGCGGATTCCACTTAAAGTCCAAAATCCGCTTCTGCGGTCACTTCTCCGCATTTGCAGATGCACAGATGCGGCTCCTTTTTCGTACCTACGCTACAGGACAAACTCTTCTAGAGCGCACTTGTGGTCCTCCTCCCGCACGTGCGTGCCCGCACCTGCGGTCTCCCCACCACAGGTGCGAAAATACCAGAAGCTTGAAAGCTTCAGCAATAGGACAAGTCCAATTTTTGATTCGTTAAGCATCTGAAACTCACCCGAGGCCTCCGGGACCTCAACCAAACATATTAACATGTCCTAAAATACTATACGAACTTAGTCGAGCCCTCAAATCACATCAAACAACACTAAAAATATAAACCACCATCCAATTCAAACTTAATGAACTTTGAAACTTCAAACTTGTACGTTCGATGCCGAAACCTATCAAACCACGTCCGATTGACCTCAAATTTTGCACACAAGTAATATTCGACATTATGGGCCTACTCCAACATCCGGAATCGGAATCCGACCCAGATATCAAAAAGTCCACTTCCGGTCAAAATCTCTAAAAAAATTCGACTTTCGCCATTTCAAGCCTAAATCAGCTACAGACCTCCAATTCACAATCCGGACATGCTCCTAAGTCCAAAATCACCCAACGGAGCTAACGGAATTGACGAAACTCCATTTCAGAGTATTCTTTACACAGTTCTGACTACAGTCAAAATCTTATGACTTAAGCTTCCGTTTTAGGGACTAAGTGTCCCAAATCACTCCGAAACCACAAACAAAACCTCCTGCCAAGTCACATAAGAAAAAAAACAATATGGGGAAAGCAGTAAATAGGGGATCGGGGGTATTACTCTCAAAATAATTGGTCGGGTCGTTACAGTTTCGATACGAGTTCAACCATACGAAAATTATTGAATTCTGACATCGGATCGCCTTTTAAATCCTCATTTTATATTTTTGGAACATTTTAAAAAAATCTCATTTTCTTCAATTAAATTCACTAATTAATGATGTAAATAGGCATGGAATCAAGAAGTATAATCAATTTAGGATAAGGAACACTTACCTTTCGAACTTGTGAAAACTGCCTCTGAAATCGCCCAAATCTGAGACTTAAAACTCAAAAATGACCAAAACTGTCGGACTCCCGAATTTATGCATTCTCTCCATCATTTTCATTTTTGCGGACAAGAATTTCACATCCGCGAAGCCAGCTTGCCAGGCTAAATTCTGCACCTGCGGAATTCCAGTCCGATTCGCGACTGCGCAGAAGCACTAATGAAGCCGCAGAAGCGACGAGTTGCGCATTTTCGATACTTGCACCGCACAAGCGGGCATCGCACCTGCGCTCCAAGCTTCGCAGAAGTGAAGATTCTTCCCTGGCCTCAATGTCACAGAAGCGACATTGTCTTCGCAAAAGCGGCTCCGCATCTACACTCCAAAATGCGCAGATGTGAGACGCTAGAACAAGACTTGCAATTTCAACCAAAAATGATCTGAAACTCACCCCGAGCCCCTCGTAACTTCGTATGAATATTCCAACAAGTCCCGTAACATAATAAGGATCTACTTGGGGTCTCAAATAACAACAAACAACGTCGAAACTACAAATCGGACCTCAATTCGAACTTATGAGTTTATGAAATATTTAATTCTATAACTCGTGCCGAAATATGTCAAATCAATTCGGAATAACCTCAAATTTTGCAGGTAAGTCCCAAATAACATAACGGAGCTATTCCAACTTTCAAAAATCTCAACCCGAGTCTGATATCAATAAAGTCAAATTTACGGTCAAACTTTGAAAATCTTTAACATTTAGATTTCTAGTTTCCGTCAAATAGCGATAATTTGAGCTAGGGACTTCTGAATTTGATTTCGGACATACGTCCAAGTCTCAAATCACGATACGGACCTACCGAAACTATTAGAACATTGATCCGGATCCGTTTACTCAGAACGTTGACCGAAGTCAACTCAAATAAGTTTTGAAACACTATTTCATATTTTTATCAATTTTTGCACATAAAAGTTTTCTGGAAAAAGATACGGACTGCACACGCAAGTCGAGGAATGCTGAATGGTTCTATTCAAGGTCTTAGAACACAGAAATAAATGTTTAAAATTAAAGATGACCTATCGCACATCGCAATGAATAATATGAAATTTATATTAGGTACTTGAGCAAATATAATTTATTTTTTAAGGCCATGAAGAACATAGTATTTTTGCATGATAATTAAGTATAAGTCAACATATTATTCTACATAAAGAAAATGCACAACTCATATATTGAAGTTACAATAATGCATTAAATACTTTTGTATGACATAGCTTTTTACTTTCTTAAGTTGGCTAAATATGATCAATATTAATTATTTTCAAGAGCTTGTGCTTTTTTAAAATCTAGTATTTATAACTAAATTACATAGTTTAATAATATTTATGTGATTTTTAAAATTTTATACTCATTGAGATAAAGTGCACGCACAACATGCATATCCTAAAACTAGGTTATTGGTACGTTATAATCTCATCATAGGATTTTGTGTATAATTAAATACTAAAAAGTTTACAACTTTTTAACTAATAATTGAGCAGTTTTATGGGGTGAGTTCTTCATTATTAAGTTTAGCATCAACATTCATTATTTTTGTAAACTTATACTTTTATTACAAAACTTAAACTTAAATTCAATAGAATATTTAAGTGATTTTTAAAAAAAATTACTCAATGAGAAATGGGTACACTAAGTACTCACACAAATACTATGACATATTTATAATTATAAGTTTCAAGAGTACCTTTCTTTCCTAATCTACATACTCAGTCAAAATGGGAGTCTTGGCGTAATTGGTAAAGTTGCTTCCATATGACCATATGACCAGGAGGTCACGGCTTCGAGCCGTGGAAATAACATTTTGCAGAAATGTAGGGTAAGGTTGCGTACAATATCCCTTGTGATCCGACCCTTCCCCTGACCTCGTGCATAGCTGGAGCTTAGTGCGTCGAGTTGCCCTTTTTATACTAGTAAGATATTTTTCACATTGGGGCACAAGTTGGTACTACTATGTCTATATCAGAAATGACATGATCTTGCACTGCACTGAGGATGACACCGATTCTAGAGAACTAGATAATGATCAAATTGTTGATGACTTGATGTACATATAATTGGTATTAGAGGTGACAAAGAGCGAGTTGGGTCGCATATGGGAGGGTCGAAAACGAATAATACAAAAACGAATAAGATATCTTACCAGCCCCATATTTAATACAGATAAAAAATGGGTTAACTGACGGATAATATGAAAATCCATATTATCCATGTCTTCTTGAATATGATCACTTTTGGGAGAACTTTTAGTCTCCCAATCTTGAAGAACCCCCAATTTGAGTCTTTGCAAATGTAAAAGTTAAACACATTGTTTATCCATTTTTTTAAAGTGAATAATATTATTTTTTATCGATATTTGACCTATTTTTAAAAAAATCATTATTCAACTAATTTTTTAGTGGATTATATGGATGCATAATCATTTCTTGTATCCATTTTGCAGCTGCTAATTGATATTTAGCTAATATAGAATTGTGATTGAGACCACCTTTTGGAGGTGTACTAACATTAATTACTTGATAGATAAAGATAAAAATGAGATCAATTATAGATTGCTAATAACTTGAGAGAGAAAGCAAGTCAAATCCAGCCATTGCACATGCAATGTGTTGTCTCTTTTTAATGCAGAAATCTGCACATATCAGTTCATATATTAGGTATTATGCGGTGTTCAATATTGGCCATGTCAATAAAGGGGTATTGCAGGATAAATAAGATTCCTTTAACATTAATAGAAGTTCTAGAAATGGAAAAACCTCTTATATCCAGCCATTGCACATGCAATGTGTTGTCTCTTTTTAATGCAGAAATCTGCACATATCAGTTCATATATTAGGTATTATGCGCTGTTCAATATTGGCCATGTCAATAAAGGGGTATTGCAGGATAAATAAGATTCCTTTAACATTAATAGGAGTTCTAGAAATGGAAAAACCTCTTATGAGTAGAGATACATCCAAAAGTTAAACTTTACGGGTCTGAAATCTAGGACAATAATAGTTGGCTTGAAATTTTAAAGTTTTGTTCATATTTGTGAATTTCTTAATATATATACCCTTGGTCAAAACTATTGAATTGTCGAACTCATATACTACTTTACATCTGCCCCTAGTAGGAGGAGCCCTTTCTTTTTCTAGTAGGCCCTATAAGGAAAAAAATCCGATTAGTAGTGTTGCATTTCTCAGCAAATTTCTCCTTGAGAGTACTCTCTGCTTGGCAGATTTCTGACTCATTCTGGTTTACTTATTAGCATTTAAGGGACTTTGGGGTTGCGAATATGAAGGTTATGGAAAATCTTTGGTTTGCTATCCTTGATGAATGATGCAGTTTAGACTAATCTTTAAATTATCTCAATATAGAAAATGTTAGGTCAATAGCATACGCTACCATGATGCTACACACTGAGCTTGCACTGACATGACTTGCAAACAACTCTGAATGATGCAGTTTAGGCAAATCTTTAAACTATCTCAATATAGAAAATATTAAGTAGCATAACTAACATTACAATGATGCTACGCTGAGCCTGCACTGGCATGACTTGCAAACAACTCAGACACTATAAGCCCGCACGCTACAATAAAAAAGCAGCGCCTAACAAGCCAGAAAATGGATGCACAAAGGCACAATGGCTTTTGGGCGCAATTGATTACAGCCTTGCTTCTTGCTTTCAGGCCGGAGCTTGATAAATAGCAAAGTGGTCGAATAAAACTTTATGTTAAGCAATTAGCAAACTAGTTAAGCCAGAGAGGAAAAAATGGCAGAAGCATTAGGTTTCAGTAATTAATATTTCTTCCTTTTCTTTTGAAATGAATCATAAAAACTCTTACCCAAAAGAAATATAAAGAGGGCAAGTGATAAAGAGCAAATGACACAGATAAATATAGCTAGGCTTGTAGAAGGTAGCACAACGTACAAGCCAGTCATAAACGCTATCATCATTGCTAGCATGGCAACCAAGGCAAGGATGCCAGCAGCTACATAACGACTCAACCTTTTGTTCTCTTTCTCGTAAGTTGCAAGGTAATGCAGAAAAACAGCAGCTGTGGAAGATATCATGGCAATGGTATCTGTTACTGCGAATGCTTTGAACGCTGTTTTCTTGGATATGATTGCCATGCCTTTATTTGGACCATCATCACCATTGTAACCACCAGGAATGGTGAAGCCAGCCGCGAAAGAAACGGTTAATATAAGTGTAACAACTATCAAATGTGTGTTTGCTCTTTCTTTCCATACTTCCATGCGTCCTTTGAACCACTTCTTATAAGATTCTTTCTGAAAATAGAGTTAAAAATCTCTAATTATTTTATCTCAAGTCTCAAGTATATCTCAATTTTTGTTTAAAAAAAACTATGCCATTTTAGTGTTATAAAACTAACCTCTGAGTGTTTTTAATAGGAAAAGACCAAAAAGAAACTTGCATCGTATAAACAAATATTTACCCATCTGATATTGTTGCGCTCTAATTCTTCCCAGCAAGGGTGAGACTGAAACGACACGTTCCCTGTAATCTCGTCGGGCACGTTCCCGTCAGCGTCTCTTTGCACAAAGATGTTATTGTTCCAGTGTTGATCTTCGAATAATGTTATCATTTTCCAATGCTCCTTCGCGTATGCAATGTGAAGAACATTTTGGCCTTGGCTAGTGACTGCGTCCAAGGAATCTGGGCACTGCTCTATAATCTCTTCCACGGCCTGTATTTTATTATTGATGACCGCTAAATGCAGAGGTGTTTT